GTATTGGGGTCTGGGGGGGGTTCTTGGGGGCTGGCTGCTGAGGGTTCCAGGGTGGGGGTTCTGAGGACATGCCACCCCTGGGCTGTGGCCCTGGTGTGGCTTGGGCTCTGGCGGGCGGGTTGCCGGGCCCTGGGCCGGTGCGTGCTCTGGTGCCCAGCTCTGGGCTGGAGGCCTCCGGTGCCCTGGTGGTCTGTGAGTCTCAGTTACAATGTACAGAGTAACTAAAATAGTTTGTGGAAAACATTTTTGGTCATCAATACAAAAGAAAGAAGGGGAGAAAAAAATGAGTACCAGTGCCATAATGTTGGACTAGTGTGGATATTTCTGTGCGGCTTTTGGAGAGAATATTAAATATCAGCTGGTGAGTGAATGCAGACATGATGCTGTCAATAGTTGTTAACATTGTCACATGCGTGCGAAGGGGATGTTGTCTGTTTAGGGAGAGGAGGAGGAGGAAGGTGCAAACKCAACATTACCTCAGGCTCTGAGACGTAAAAATCTTTATTCATGATGTAAATGAATAAATTTTATGTAATTTATTATTATCAGTAGGGACATTATTTTGTCAAATCTTAACTTATTTTAGGATTTTCACAGTTTTGTCTTTATTTCTCAGAATCTTCTTGAACATGAAATCCGATGCAGTGATTGGTCCGTGCTGGAGGTTTTTGTAACGACGTCATCCAGGATTAGCTTTACGGCACAGCAAAGTGTCGTAAATCAGCTCTAAGACTGACATGTAAGATTTACTCTTACACTTCGCTTAAAGTGGGACTGAGATGCTTGACAAATGCTTTTATGCTAGACTCAGCTTTTAGATAAGAATTATTTTACACTTAAGTCCGTTCTTAACAGCATTCTTAAGAGTAATTCTAAGTGGTTTGATAAATATGGGTCCTGCCTTTCTACCCCTGTTTGAAGGGACYAGGAATTGAAGAAATGATTCAGAGAGGAATCAATAATAATATGCAGTTAAAGGGTTAAAAACAGGGGCATAGGTTTGTCAGGAACACACTACTGCATTGTGTTTTTTTAATAMCAATTTTTTTATGTATTTGAGTAAAAATAGCATTTGTGTTCTTGCTGTGTGGATCTTGAACCTTTATTTTTTTTAGCCACCTTGTGTTTGACAGTTTCATAGCATTGCTAAATGGGTAGAGCACTATTTTAT